ACAAAACTCAAGGTGTGTAACCACAGAGAAAAAAAACTATCTACAATTGATTAAATCACAGATTACAGTCGACCCCCCTATAATTATGATTCCTATAAAACTACGAAAAAATTGTGACCGGTATCCGTAAAAAACAGTAAAAACCCCCTATAATTACCTCAAACGTCATCGGGCAGCCGAACTACTTTCCCGCCGTCCATAGCGCTAACTACGGAGATATTTCTATCGTCTGGACAGTATTATATAAATTATATATAAATTAGGTACTGTATATATAATTATATATTAACTTATTGTAACTTTGTTATAATTAAATATATAATTTCCGCCGTCTAGCGTGGCGCCACGCTACGGAGATTTTTACGCTAACTATCGTCTGTCAGTATGTAAATTAGGTACCGTAAGTCTAATACAGTACTGTAATTTTATACATTTCTTGTGAAAGAAACATTTCTTATTCAACGGCGATTAAAATTATTTATATTAATGATGTCTCCGAAGTTCAACGAAGTTTTCGCAGAAAAATAAGTTATCAGAAATCGGCCGTGGTTTGGTGTGCTGCTTCGCGACGAAAACAAGCTTTAGCAATGGGGTTGTCGAATGGTGCATACTCGGTAAGTAATCCTACAATTTTTTGTTTATAGCGTAGTTTATACGGATTATTTCCAAAAAATATATACGTATTTTGGAAATGTTGAGTCGGATTAGTCTAGAATCGATTAATTTTATGGAAGAAAACCTTTCAATCAGCCGTAGTCCGTAAACTTGACACGTGTCGGGCTGTGATTGGAACGACTCATAAGAAATCGGATTCCTAAAGAATGGAACGTATCTATATCTTATAGGGGGGGGGGTCGACTGTATATATATTAAATGGCCAATGCACAATTGACTATCCAGCAAATTTCACTTTCATTTCTTCAATGGTATGTCAGTAATAGACTTGGTAGTATTAAATGTTAACCTGTTGGACAACTTGAAAGACTAAAATCTTGGACAAATTCAGTTCAGACCATTTTCCCACTTCTGCGATATTTAATTTCAACATGGAAAAAATAGAGACAAGCAAAAACTATGGAAACCTCAATATACATGGAACCAGGATAAGCTCAATAAATATGTTTTGACAGTCACCTCATTTCATAAATTACTGAAGACGAGGTTTTTGTTGGGTGTGTGGGATTTTTACTCAGAATTCTTACAAATGCTATTGACCTCAGCAACTGAAAGTGGAACGTTGAGAATGACTAGTTCATTAAAGCCATTTGATAAACAATGGTTTGATTTGAATTGTTTGAGGTTAAAAAGAAATATTTCATTACGAAAATTTTGCAAAAATAAAGAGAACTGTTAGAAGAGTATTGCAAATTAAATAAAAGTTATAAGTCATTGTGCAAAGCTAAGATAAAGTTATTTCAAACCAAGATTAAGCTACAATTACAACATACAAAAAATACAAAAGAATTTTGGTCATTGGTAAACAAGTTTAGAACAAGGAGGCATACTGCAAATGTAATCTCAACATGAGGTGGCATCAGTTTTTATTTTGCTAAATCTATTTATCATTAATATTAATTTTTAAAATNAACACCTTCACTTACGAACATTTTCCAGAAGTAATGGGAATGCTATGGAAACGAATGTTACATGACAATAAAAGAAATTGGAGAAGAACTTATAAAGTAAGTTATTATTTATATTTCTTCTTTTTTTGATTTTCTTATTAAATTCTGTAGGTGTGCACATTTTGTTTTAAAATTCAATATTATGTTAACTATATAAATGATAGAAGAATAATTATATATTACAAATATATATTAGAGAAAGATAAAATATTAAATTTAATCTAATCTATAAGGAACTTTATCATGCAAAATGTAAACAAAAAACTAACTAAACAAATATAAAACTGTTTTGTCTATAATATGATTGTGTTACCTTCATTTTATGAAAATACTTTAACAAAACTAAAGTAAGCAAAATGAAAAGTTTTTAGAATTGATTTATTAAGGTATTTTCAAAAATAATGATGTACTAAATATTACTAACAATGAAATACTAAAAAGGTTTTAGTAAGAAGAATTATTTAATTTGATAAATATTTTGGGGGTGAAAAAAATATTCTCTTAGATCAATACAAACACAAAGCAGTTTCATAACAAATGTAAAATGAAATGAATGGTGGTCATAAAACACTTTAGATTAAATTTAAAAAATTTAGTTTTTTTGTAACTATTCAAAGTTACTCATAAACGTAGATGATTTGCATCACACGAAAACATAAACAAAATAGGATACTTCTGTTTTTATATTTATCATTTAACTATATTACAGACCAAAGTGCATGAAGGCTGGTGTTTATAAAAATCGATTACAAAACTTAGGTGAATGAATGTCTTTTTATATAGATAGGAACACTTGAGAGATAAAGATGCCATTGCTTTGGCAAGGAAAGTTATAGTGAAGTTAGATGGGATCACCCTTCTAGATTCAAAGATGTTCCAACTCCATATTAGCATAGAAATATTTAATAGCAGTGTTAGAGAATTAATTGAATATCAGGAAGGTGATGGTGTCTGATCTAGATTCTTAGAGTATGTTTTCATTTGTTATAAGGTCTATCATTATTATTTAAAATGTCCGTAGTGTCACCATTTTCACATAAATGCATTGTTTTTGGTATAAGGATGCATAGTATCTTTTTCTTTCTGTTATTAAGGCTTATATTAAACTAGAGGACCATGCTGCTGATACTTTTGTAGATTCTCGAAAATTGATTGCAAGGCCTTTATGGTTTGCTTTACAAATCTGCCAGGCTTCCACATAGTGCCATCCCGTCCCAAAGGTCCTGCCACCACCCCTTGCTGTACCTGCGTGAGCATACCAGCAAGTCCCTTTGACTTTATAACCAATCCGCTATCTACTAGACCTATGCACCATACCCATAAGGTCAACCAGTAGATTTTTATTGGTATGGTATGATCATGCCAACACCATGTATGCACCATAAAAACATAACCAAAAGTCGTGCATACTACACCGCAAAGCAGTGCCTTTCCCGAGCAGGAGGGGAAACCAAATACCTGTAATAAAACCAAGTAATAAATATAAAACCATAAAAACAATATAAATAAAAACATAAATAATAAAACCCAAATAACATATAAAACCATATATAACTAAAAATAAATACCATTTAACAAATAATAAAACCAAAACTGGTGTGCCCAGGCAACCATAACCTATCTTAGAAAATAAACCCATGTAAAACTCCAAAAAAAATATATAATAAAAACCATATATAATAACCAAATGTAATATAACCAAATATAATATATATATATATATATTATATTTGGTTATATTACATTTGGTTATTATATATGGTTTTTATTATATATTTTTTTTGGAGTTTTACATGGGTTTATTTTCTAAGATAGGTTATGGTTGCCTGGGCACACCAGTTTTGGTTTTATTATTTGTTAAATGGTATTTATTTTTAGTTATATATGGTTTTATATGTTATTTGGGTTTTATTATTTATGTTTTTATTTATATTGTTTTTATGGTTTTATATTTATTACTTGGTTTTATTACAGGTATTTGGTTTCCCCTCCTGCTCGGGAAAGGCACTGCTTTGCGGTGTAGTATGCACGACTTTTGGTTATGTTTTTATGGTGCATACATGGTGTTGGCATGATCATACCATACCAATAAAAATCTACTGGTTGACCTTATGGGTATGGTGCATAGGTCTAGTAGATAGCGGATTGGTTATAAAGTCAAAGGGACTTGCTGGTATGCTCACGCAGGTACAGCAAGGGGTGGTGGCAGGACCTTTGGGACGGGATGGCACTATGTGGAAGCCTGGCAGATTTGTAAAGCAAACCATAAAGGCCTTGCAATCAATTTTCGAGAATCTACAAAAGTATCAGCAGCATGGTCCTCTAGTTTAATATAAGCCTTAATAACAGAAAGAAAAAGATACTATGCATCCTTATACCAAAAACAATGCATTTATGTGAAAATGGTGACACTACGGACATTTTAAATAATAATGATAGACCTTATAACAAATGAAAACATACTCTAAGAATCTAGATCAGACACCATCACCTTCCTGATATTCAATTAATTCTCTAACACTGCTATTAAATATTTCTATGCTAATATGGAGTTGGAACATCTTTGAATCTAGAAGGGTGATCCCATCTAACTTCACTATAACTTTCCTTGCCAAAGCAATGGCATCTTTATCTCTCAAGTGTTCCTATCTATATAAAAAGACATTCATTCACCTAAGTTTTGTAATCGATTTTTATAAACACCAGCCTTCATGCACTTTGGTCTGTAATATAGTTAAATGATAAATATAAAAACAGAAGTATCCTATTTTGTTTATGTTTTCGTGTGATGCAAATCATCTACGTTTATGAGTAACTTTGAATAGTTACAAAAAAACTAAATTTTTTAAATTTAATCTAAAGTGTTTTATGACCACCATTCATTTCATTTTACATTTGTTATGAAACTGCTTTGTGTTTGTATTGATCTAAGAGAATATTTTTTTCACCCCCAAAATATTTATCAAATTAAATAATTCTTCTTACTAAAACCTTTTTAGTATTTCATTGTTAGTAATATTTAGTACATCATTATTTTTGAAAATACCTTAATAAATCAATTCTAAAAACTTTTCATTTTGCTTACTTTAGTTTTGTTAAAGTATTTTCATAAAATGAAGGTAACACAATCATATTATAGACAAAACAGTTTTATATTTGTTTAGTTAGTTTTTTGTTTACATTTTGCATGATAAAGTTCCTTATAGATTAGATTAAATTTAATATTTTATCTTTCTCTAATATATATTTGTAATATATAATTATTCTTCTATCATTTATATAGTTAACATAATATTGAATTTTAAAACAAAATGTGCACACCTACAGAATTTAATAAGAAAATCAAAAAAAGAAGAAATATAAATAATAACTTACTTTATAAGTTCTTCTCCAATTTCTTTTATTGTCATGTAACATTCGTTTCCATAGCATTCCCATTACTTCTGGAAAATGTTCGTAAGTGAAGGTGTTTTGGGCTATTTCTTGCATTAACTGACCAGTTGGTCCCCACGCATCATCATTTGTGGCTTCACGCACTTTAGCTTCTACTTCAGTATAATTCATTACAACATTAGTTCTAATTAAAAAATTAAAACAAATAATTAAAACGTTGATAAAATAATGCAGATAATGAAGCAATAATAATATTGAGAACATGATTAAACCAAATATAAATTAACTATAATCTGAATAAGTCAGTTTCTAGATATAATTGTACTGTAAATTTATTATCCAGAGCAATAAACATTAAATAAAAAGATTCAAAAAACGTAATTAATGATACTCCTAAACAGATAAAAATGAATAAAAATTTACACTGTTTTTTAAATAAGTTAAAAAAAACAAAGAATAAGAAAAAAGTAATAACCATGAAATTATTATAATTTTTGCATATAAAAATCTTTAAAATATTAAATTTTGTGATCAGTATAAATTTTCAGACGACTTAAAGTTAAATACGCCATATTAATTGACTTATTTTTATTTGTTGATGCTTGGATATAAATTATTCATTATCAATTGTAATATAAATTTAAAGTAGAATATTTAGATGCTATCAAAATTACATATAAATTTAAAAAGTGTATATAAAAAATGTTCTTAATTTATACAAATCATTTCTTTTTAATATATTAAGAACAATTATTCCATGAAATGCATTGAAATTCTTACACAGACTGCTTAGCGTAATCCAATATCATCATCAGTTGTTTAAAGCTATCAGAATTATTATGCTCCAAAATGTAAGTTAAAATACTTTTGTGAAACTTTGCTTATCATAATGAGAGTTCAGTTATCATAATTTGTGAAACTTTGCGTATCATAATTGAGAGTTCATTATTTATAAGTAAACAGCATGAAAAGACAGCTTAAAAATACCTATTAGCTCAACAAATGGCTGATAACTGTTATCAGCCACTTGTTGAGATACAAAGTTATTGTTATAAGTCTTAATCAGTATTATAAATTAAGCATTAATCATTATTTGCTTGTTAACACAACAGAACAGTTTGAAGTAAGAAATGCCAGCAATTTAATTATACTCTAGCTGCCATTAGAGACTAACAGGCAAAACAATACTAAATGAATTACTTATTAAATCTTCCAAGTTATAAAAATATTTAATTGTATTAAAATATCATTTTATCATCAAAGTTAATAAAACTAGAATGTTTACTAATTGTAATCTTATTGAATCATCTTATGTTAGTCTGTTATTGTCATCAGCTGAGGTGTTCTTATCTTAAAGTGATAACATTAAATTGACATATTCCAATAGTCTGCTTAATTGGTATGCAGACCTAATCTAATCCAACCCTATCTGGAATCATATTAGCTATAATTCAGTTAAAAACTTTCTTTCAGTTATTTTATCAATATTTCATACTCTTAATTTAAATTCTATAATGTATTCATTATTTAACACTTCAGAAGATGGAAGTAAATAAAGTCAAGTTAAAAAATTGTAAGTAATTGCATACCAAGTATTTTACTGCTATATAGTTGAATATCTGTGTTCTGTGTTTCATGAATTGTTAGCAGTCTTTACATACAGCAATTTTTTGGAGTATTTAAGCAAGGAAAATCAAAACTAAATATATATATATATATTTAAAAAATTACTATGTATTCTATTGTGTAACAGCAACTTATTGATACAATAAAAACTAGATGTAAATTTAACTTGGAAACTGTACATAATGAAATTTAACTTAAAATATCAAGTTAAAAGTAATTTTATAAAATTGACTATACTATATTACACTATGGAAATAAAAACAATTTTATTAAGCAAATTATAAGCAAGTGAAAGTAAATAAATTATATATGAGAAATAATTTATTTTATTTACATAACTTTAGCTATTATCTAATCCAGGGGTGGGCAACAGTTTTTGCCCCCGGGCCGAATTGGAAAGAAAACTTTTTCCACGGGCTGAACGAGAGGTTGCCCTAGGAAGATTTTGAGGTGGTGCGAGATCTCATTGTGGTGTCACCCTGTAGAGACTGAATTGTAGATAGAGATTACAGATACATTTCTCACATTATCATGCTTTATCAACACACTATGCTGTACTTAAGAAATTTGTAATGGAGGGTTAACTCTAAATGCACGATGAATTGACTTTTTTTTTAGGCATCAGAATTTTTCATCGAGCTATTTTGAAAGATTGATCATGGGCCACAAATTCATTAGACAGGCCAGATCTGGCCCACGGGCCGTATGGTGGCCATGCCTGATCTAATCTAACCCTATCTGGAATCATATTAGCTATAATTCAGTTAAAAACTTTCTTTCAGTTATTTTATCAATATTTCATACTCTTAATTTAAATTCTATAATNTCTAGATTACTTAGAAAAACAGTCTTTTATATATAAAAAAAACTATATTACACACAAATGTACAAACAAATAAAAACCCAGCGAAGCGGGTTCTTGCAGCTAGTATATATATAAATTTAGAACAAAACTGGATGTCTGATCTGTCCAATTATTTAACATAACATCTTATCCAATATACAAATAAAAACCCAGCGAAGCGGGTTCTTGCAGCTAGTATAGTTCTAAATTTAGAACAAAACTGGATGTCTGATCTGTCCAATTATTTAACATAACATCTTATCCAGCAAACTATTCAAAACACTATGAATGTTTTTGACCTATTTTAATAAGTCTTCCTCAGGCCATACTTCTAATAACAGCATATTCAGATACAGAATGTTTCAATTAAAGTATTTTTTAAAAAAGTGTTTGGTATAACTAAAATTCATCATCAATGTCGGAAAAGTTTGATGGAACATTTTACATGAAGTTTGGAATATTTAAATTTATTTTAAATTTGAAATACTTCAAATATTTTTCACTTTGCATACGCAATCCAGTTATTTACATATAGATATAAACCAATACAGAATTAATACATACTTCAAAAAAGAAATAAAACAAAAACCTTACAGCAGTATATAATGTTAATCACAAAGAACTGACATGGCTGATTAATGGATTATAAAAGATATTCCACACCAGTTGAAGTTGTTTCTGCATTTTTATAATTGATATAACTTCTTACTAATAGACTTAAAAAATTCTAGCTGTTAAAGCCTTGCATTATTCTTTTGTGATTAACATTATATACTGCTCTAGGGTTATTTATTTTATATTTTGAGGTGTTATATATAAACTGACAGAATTAATACATATGTAAATATAAACACAATCACACATCTATAACCAGCAAAAAAACATATTTTAATGAAAAATAAAACAAAAAATTTGATTTTTTGTTCTCATTCCATCTAATGATATCCATTTCAAAAAAGGGGGATAATGTTTGTTTTCATTAAATACAGTCGACCCCCCTATAATTACGGTCCCAATAATTACAATTCCTATAAAACTGCGAAAAAATTGTGATGGTATCCGTAAAAAACCCCCTATAATTACGTTAAACGTCATCGGGCAGCCGGACTACTTTCCCGCCGTCCGTAGCGCCACGCTACGGTGAGATTTCTATCGTCTGGACAGTATTATATAAATTAGGTACTGTATATATAATTATATATTAACTTATTGTAATTATAATTAAATATATAATTTCCACCGTCTAGCGTGGCGCCACGCTACAGAGATTTTTATGCTAACTATCGTCTGTACAGTATGTAAATTAGGTACCGTAAGTCTAATACAGTACTGTAATTTTATACATTTCTTGTGAAAGAAACATTTCTTATTCAACGGCGATAAAAATTATTTATATTAATGATGTCTCCAAAGTTCTACGAAGTTTTCGCAAAAAAATAAGTTATCAGAAATCGGTCGTGGTTTGGTGTGCTGCTTTGCGACGAAAACAAGCTTGAGCAATGGCGATGTCGAATAGTAAGTAATCCTACAATTTTTTGTTTATAGCGTAGTTTATACGGATTATTTCCAAAAAATATATACGTATTTTGGAAATGTTGAGTCGGATTAGTCTAGAATCGATTAATTTTATGGAAGAAAACCTTTCAATCAGCCGTAGTCCGTAAACTTCACACGTGTCGGGCTGTGATTGGCACGACTCGTAAGAAATCGGATTCCTAAAAAATGGAACGTATCTATCATCTTATAGGGGGGTCGACTGTATATATGTTTCTTTGCTGATTATGTGTACAAATGTGTTTATTAGTACATTAAATCAGTATAGTAGTAGTAACCATGAATACATAAATAATGGGTTGGGTACACAAAGTGAAACATTTCAAAATTTCAAATTTAAAAATTCAAAATGACTTGTAAAATGTTTTTGAACTTTTCTAGTGATGAAAAATTTTGCTTATACCAAATGCCTTTTAGAAAAATTGAATTGGAACATTCCATATCTGAATGTGTTATTAAAAGTGAACCAATTAAAATAGATAAAAACATTTGTGCTTTGAATAAAAGGGTTTGATGGATGAGATGTTATGTCAAATAATTGGACAGATCATAAATTCAGTTTGTTTTCTATTCAAGTAGTTTCATAGCAACACTGGCCAAGAAATAAAAAACTAGTTTTAGAACTTACTAAAAATGTTTGACTTTTTGAAGGAATGTTAACTTAACAATGTTTCTCATGTCAATTTACATAATATGATTAACAAAGAGATGAGTCAATACTTCCTAGGTTAGAGGATGTGTATCAAAGGCCATCAGAAATACTAAGAGATTCAGATATGCACTACTATGACTCTTGGAAAATAAAGTGTTTGACAGTGATTCAAGTATATTAAACATTAATTCTCTCACTATTAAGTTGGAGGAACAACTAGCATTCAGATCCCATAGAAAATATTAAAAAGTTCAGATGGATATTCTAGAAACAGTTCACCTGCACCAGGACTATGCTAAAGTCATACTTTGTTAGGCTTTAACATAGTTATCACTCTACCCAGCTTCCTTTTGGAGACCATTAGACACAGACCCATGTAGTTTACCTTCCTCACAATTATGTAAAGATCCTGAAACTGAAGCCAAATCGAGAAGCAATGATAACAGGCTTGAATGACATCAGTAAGAAATTTTTTAGGTGGAAGATGACACTTAAATTACAAGGAAAT